CAGGGAGAGAGAGGAAAAAACCCACCCCTGGGCCTGCACAGTGCAGCTTACCGCCATCTTGATGTCCTTGATGCGTGCCGATGGCATGGAGGTGGCTGGCACCAGATCAGCCCAAGAGAAGGAATGAGAGGCCAATGGAGATTTATGTGAGGAGAGTGAGATGGACAAGGTAAAATTGTCAGGAGGAGTTGTTAGAAAGTAAAATATATTGTGACAATTCCACTCCTGCCGTTCATCAATAAACTGACAGATCATTTAGTGTCAATTAGGAGTGATAGATGGACAAGTCCCCATGATCCTGGGCCAAAATTAATGGCTGGGAGGGAGAGGGTGATTGAAAATGACGGCTGACATTGAGAGGAAAGTCCTGAAGGTCCCCAAGGGGCCATTACTTGCCTCATTCCCTTGCAGATCAATGCAGGGACAAACCCAAAAACAGACACTTCAAGACAAAACTTAATCAGACTTCCTTTTCTTTCTTCTCCTTCTAAGTTGTGCCCCCTCACTTGGCAGCCTTGATCCTCTCTGCCTATACTCCTCACTTCACTGAGGACATCCACAGATGGCTGCAAGCTGCAGAGCAAGGCTGACATCTCCCATGCAGCCAGGAGTCTGGCTCTGCTCCTAACGTGGCACTGTCACAGAGAAGTCCAGACTGAGACTCACCACAACACTACTGGATTGGGAGTAGAGAACAGAAGCAATGACACATCTTTCCCCCACTGTCCCAGACCAAGAAATTCATGAGCACTTTACTATTCCCATCTGCACGACAGGGATTGCTAGAGGTTCTAAATCCAGGCACTCTCAGGGGTCATTTCTTATAGAGAGAATACAGGATAGTTTAAGCCCATATTCTTGAAACAGGAGGTTTTTAACTTTACTTATCTCTAGAGACCTTGAATCATAAAACCCCTTAATCTCTTAAATAACTTTCCTCCAGCTCCAGGGTGCAATCTCACCACTGCCCACCATTCAGAGCCTTAAATGATATCTATGCTATTAGAGGGGCTGGGTTACCCTCCTCTAAAGGTCACCCTAACTGCATCCTCTTCCTTCCTACATGCACTTAAAATTCACCTTCTTGACAAATGCATTGCTGGACACTGTACCACTGTACCACTTCTGTTCCAAAATACTTCAGGCACGGTCATTTTCCTAAACAAGCTTTGATTATTCCAACTCTGTGTGGCCTATCAGTCAGAAAGGGGAAATTTCACTTGTAGCTGAAGCACCTGTTGCTAAACCGCCATCATCCACGTAGAAGAAATGAGGTACATGTGCAGGCACTGGAAGGGACTTCCTACTGAAAGCAGCACTTGTGTTTGCTTGCAGGGCTACCTGAAACAAGCTGTGTTTATTTCCTTAACAGCCCTCGCTGCTGCCTGCAGAGCTGTAGGAATTTTAGGGGGCTCATTGCAAGACCAAAGGGATCAAGCACCCGAGTAAATTGAAAGAGACCCGAGAAACAAAGAAATTACAGTACTGCTAAAGAGAAATTCTATGAGGAAAGTCAGAGAGACAAGATCAAAAGAAGTTGAAATTAAATGAATCATGGAGGCGCCCCTCCTTTATCAAATCCTCACCAGCATGCAAAACTGAGTTCCCTTTTCCTTCCCCCACTGGCAGGCACTTTGTGTTTCTTCCTTTTGATGCATGAGATAACCTGACATTAGAGCTTGCTTTGCTTGTCACAAGTGTCAGCACTGATGTCATTAGGGACATCAGCACAGCTTTCAGAATGGCACTTGGGCTCCATCCAGTGGCTGGAGAGCTGTTTCTGTAGCTGTTTCTGTAGGAAAACCCAGCTGTAATTACTGTTATTTATCTCAGCAGTTTACTAGGCCCCAAGTGGCTGCCCAGGTTCTTGGCTGGTCCCCTTTCTGCTAATACTGGGGCTAGAATATTGCTGGGGCAGCAATGAGAGCACCTCTTCTCAGAGAGAATGATTCTTCTCAGTACAGATTTAACTAGATACAGCAGATTCAGGTACAGATGCCCTGGTAGTATGGAAGAATTAATTTTCTGACACTACTTTGAACCATTTAGTTGCTGTTTGCAAAGGACCTGGGGGTTTGCTCAGACACTTACCAGTGGTCCTCATCATTACCCAGATTTACAAAATGGGTCTCATAGCAATGACAACTGTTCTATAAGAGTACTGGGAGTGCAAAGTAATCTTCCCACATTTGGCATTTGAAAACATGAGTAAAATAGATCATTTTGATAGTTCTCAGCAATTTAAAAATCTGACACTTGCAAATGCTATGAGAACTCATGATAAAATACTGTATCTCACACACCATCTGTGCCAATTAATTTAAAAAATAATTTAGGTGGGAAAACTTTAAGAATCCTCCTCCTCTTCCTATTTTGCAACAGTCTGGGAGAGCAGCAGTCTGATGGAAATAATCAGCAAGATGGTGAAAATATTTACAAGTCTACATAAGCATGACATGAGCTGGGTAGGTAAGGGACTAAAAGAGAGCACAAAGGTAGAAAAACAGGTTACAAACTAAATTCTACTCTAACATGTGCCAAATGGAAATAAAAAGAACAATTTCAAGTGATTGTTTCATACTGATAAGACTCTGAACTAGAAATATAGCAGAAAAGCATCCCTGCAGGAAAAGCAACACGTATACAGTCATAACTGACTGAATCTGTCAGAAAGAGAGCTAAAAGCTAAGACTTCAAATGGAGAAAAAGAATAACATAAATAGCTACAAGATCATTGCACAAGTGGCCACAGTATTCCATCTGACCCACAATATATTTACACAACACAGAAAATCTAACTGTAGCCACTCTGCTCATCCTTCCTAAGTGAAAGAAAAAAAAATCAGATTTTAGCATTGTCAGTTCTGAAAATCAAATTACTTCTAACAGAACGATTCCCAAGTGTGGGTTCAGTTACACTGTCAAAAAAGGGCTTAAACCTAAATCAGATATAACAACAGAAGCATGTTATTCTAACTACATCTACACTAGTGAACTTGGAGCAAGTTAACTTGATGGGCTTCCAAACTGAGTCAAATTGGTAGAAAAGCTGTGGGGAGATAGAGCCTGAGAAAACAGAAACAACAAAGCTACAGCAACATTGGTATGACATCAGCCGATGACTCAGACTTTTCACATGAAGGCTTTACCCTGGGATATGTCAAAAAGCAAGCCCTACAGGCCAGCAGCTCAGACTTTTTTAAGGGAGAGAAGAAGAGAGATCAGCTTGGGGATAATACACAGGATAGGAAAGACAGGGGAATTATTTGTACAAAACCCTTGTACCTCATATGACTGGAGAAAGTCAGAACAAACTTCTTCATAAAATTTACTCAATAAAAACCCTTCTTACAAATGAACACTGTCAGATAAGACATTTCACATGCACAATTGAGCAAGGCACACATCTTGGTCTCACGTCCCAGTGTGCAGATTCTCAGAGAAAGAAAGGTCTGCAACCCTGTGTCCTGTTCTGCTTCTCCAGCTGACCCACATCCAGTGTCACAGAAGCCTTTACTCCAGACACCTACAATGTCTTGTAACCCACACAGCTGGAGATGCTGGGGGAGTACCACCTACAGCTACTGCTGCAAATCTATAGGGTAACGTCAAACAATGGAAAACATGGTAAAATAGCACTTGGCACAGTGCTGTTACATTAGGAACCTGTTCACTGTCCTTCAGGGCACATTAGGCACAGATATATTGCATATGTATTACCTCCAACCCAGTCCCTCACCTAACCAACAATTACATAACTTACTTAACTAAACAATGAAATTGAACCTTTTTGTCTGCTGTCACATTTCCATAAAGCTTCTGCTTGGTCCTACAAAGATCCAGGATCTTTGATGGCACTTTTTTAATACCCTGAGGTGGATATATCTTTGCAATGGCAACTTCTAGGTGCAGCCAGCCTATGAAAATAACCATTATCAGGGTTAAACTGGAGAGCAACAGGAGTTCAGGCTGAGTTCTTTATTCCCTTGCTTTATTCTAGTCTCCAGATTTCCAGACTATTTATTTTCAAAGACAGATGGAGTGCTAATTTTCCCAGAAAAGTACTGTTTTTTGGAAAGGCTACCCCAGAATACAGACCACTTTTCTCCCCTCCCAAAAAATACTGACTGTATAACAGGTTTCTGGATGTCCTCATCCATTCTCAGTTTCAGACAAGAAAGTACATAACTTTTCATAACTCAGAGTGCCTCCAAAGTATATATTAAGACATATAGACTTTTACTATAGGCCTTTAAGTACACAAGCAATCTCACATCACTCCCCAGCTCAGCCCTTCAGCTCTCTGAATATGAAATACAACACCAGCATAACTTCTAAGCTTGGAAAACCATAACTATTTGAAAGCAAGTAATCTCCTCCCAGTCTGAACTGTCCTCTAGTTTTCATACCTATTCTAATACCATGTCCAGATACTTTGTCTTATTTGTCCTTCATGTAAGCATTGGGCTTCTCAACACACATTCTACAATTTGTATACTTTTTCCTCCCATCTCTTCTTGCTGACCATCTCCATCCATCTCCATTATACCATAACCCCATACACACATAAACATTGACAAATTTCACCTTTACTGTCGAGGCTGATCACTAAATCCTGATGTATTCATTGCGCTCTTGTCAGTGTGGTGCTGTCATGTGTCACTCTCCTGGAAAGGACAGAACCCATCCCAGCTCCTGCGTTTAGCATGCTTATTATGCTCTTGACTCCTTCCAGGCACTGTACCAGGTAAGGAATATGCTGCCTCTGGCAAACAGGGACATGTACACTGTTCTAAACCTCGCCAAGTCAATTAGCCAATGGAACCAAGCAAAAGCGATACTTCAAATGGCTTGAACAAGTTACATTGATTTTGGAAAGAAAGACCATCTGAAAGACCCAGGAAAATTGTTCCAATGTCTGTGACAGGAAGGTCCAACTAGTGATGTTCCTTTATTCCACATCTAAATCCCTCTTAATAAGGAAAGAGGTGAGGACTCACTTGGTAGATGCCTGCACAGGATCATCTGCCCAGCCTCCTTGCCGGCGTGGGGGTTTAGGTGGTGGAACCTTTAATAAAGAGAACAGACATGTTACAGACAGCTCTGGTCAAGCCAATTGAGACACCAGGTCCACACACACTAATGTAGCACTTTACCAAATAATGGAGAGGTCGTGTTTAAAATGCTCTTTAATCCTAAAATAAAAGGAAGACATAAACTACAGGACAGGTTTTTAAGCTTGTCTGTAAACAAAAGATGCATCACCCTAATCAGTATCTTGTCAAGTTTCAGGTTTATGTGCCTTTGACATTTTGAGGGCACACAGTACAGTAGCTGACTGATCCACAGAGAGTGTGCTCTCCTGGCAAAATAGGGTTCATTGGGAACTTGTTCATCACTGTTGCCCACATAGCAGTGGGAGGTATCACATTATGCCTTTCCTAGGGTACAAGACAGCATGTTTTAGACATCTTGTTTTAGATGAGGAATCATTCCTAAAGAGTCTGCTTTTGTCCACTGCTTAGAATAGGATGACAGATGCCAAGTTCAGACACAGTGATCCATACCCAAACTCTTCCAAAGTTAGTTGGGATGAATCCCACCACTGCCACCACTGAAATCCAAAGGGGAAGATCATCTGGAGCTTAAAGACATTCCCTACTATTTTCTTGCATTGTCTTGTGTGGCACTCTGCCACATGGCAAGAGAAAATGGGAGTTCAGCTTGGGGCTTATGATGGAATTGTCAAATGGGGGCCATGAATCCCCACCATCTGGAAGCTGCCCATTACCAGTTACAGATTTGGGCTTGGTTCCCCCAGCCTGAGGCACTTTGTACAGCACTGCCTTCAGTGTTCTGCATGGCAGGCAATGATGAAAGCAGAGGCAAGGTGAGGCAATAGCTCCCAGTTGATGGTGCCCATTGAGGGAAGATGGACTACAGGGACCCATGAATGGACCACTGTGAGAAAGAGCAATTGCATGAAAGATGTCCCAAAACAGAGAAAAACTGCTAACTGCAAAGGAATGGTGGGGGCACAGGTGGCTCCCACAGCTTTTATTAAGGAAGTGAATGAGTGGGATGACTCCCAAGGAGTTTTGACTGCAGAGAGGACCTTGCATGTGTGGTGGGGTCAACCCTGAGCCAAAGCCAAATCACCTCTTGCCACAGATGAGGACAGGGTCGCACTAACCCCTGATGGTAGGGGTCTCACATGTTTATTTCTTGAAGTAGAAGCATTGTTTGTGAGTGTGGGAAATTAAGAGACCCTGCCAGGGGCAGCCTCTGCCTGCTGCAGGGAGGGGGTATGACCCTGCATAGCTCTCTGATAGGAGCAAAAATAGTCATCCTCCAAAAATAAACAGGGAGCAGGAATGAGGCAGGAGCTGCAGTCCCAAAATACCAACTTTCTTCGGCAAAGGGAGCACAGGAGGGCAGAGGGACAGGCAGGGAGCGTGAAACGCAGGAAACAGCCTCCTTATATGGGCTCATCCGTGGGGGACAGAGCTCAGTCGACTGGAATGACCATGTCACAGAATGTGAAGCCTTCAGGGGCCCAAGTGAATGGAGTTTTCTGATCTTTAAATGATTCCCCCAGATTCTTAAGATGCCAAACCAGAGAAGAGGCTACAGTGCCAAAAAAGGAGCATTTTGAATTCAGTTGATCTGGACACACCCAGAGCCCAAGAAAAAGTGGGAACACGCACCACATATGGGCGTGCATGCCCACATAAACATCCTTATTCCCATTACATACACCCCTAACCCAAAACCACACTCAATCCCACACAGATGCTTCCCATGCAAATAACCCCCTTTCCCCTTACACTATCCCTCTGATAGCCAGCAAGCCTGTTTCCAACACACAGCCTCACAACTCCTCACAAAGGTGCATGGGGATACAAAAATGACAACAAAGAACTTGGGCCATAAGGCTGAGGGAAAATGCAGCAAGTCCAGGGCATATCAATGTCCCTGCAATTTAATTTACACATCATCAAAACTAGCCTTCAGATCAAAGATAACTCAAGTGGGGCACACCAGATCAGAGGGTGATGACAATGTCTGGCCCAGTCTTTGCACAAGGCATGACTCCAGGGCATCTAGGGGTTTGATTCCAATGTCTTCCCAATGTTATACTGTGTTCTCATTGATCATACACACCAGGCAACCCTGAATGTCTGTCAGATCCTGAAAAACACCTCACATACACCTACAGGTCTTTTATTCCTCTTGCAAAAAATCAAGTAATTCTTTCTGAATTGCCTACAGGAACACTAGCAACAGGAAAGGCAATGTTAACTGTCAGCTGAGGAGAAATAGCTTTTCTTTGTTAACTGCCTGGAAAGTGCTGCAATAAGGTCACATGCCACATACACTTTTGTCAAGTAAATAAACTTACCTTCATATACTTTCACAGTTCCAAAATCTTAGCATAATTTACAATTGAGAATGCAATGTTGTGCTTTACCATAATATGGTGACAGGTAGGGACTTTGCAGCTGCAAGCAAGAGCTTGAAACAGAAAATGGGACAAATGTCAACCCCAGAGGAATCAGAGCAGAAATAGAGTACACTGGCCTTCTGTAATGCAGCAAATGTGCTTTTTAATGTACCTTTTTGGTGAAAAAGACTGGGGGATTTAAATGATTAGAACTTGTTGGTACCTACTGTTATACCTTAGGCAAGATTTATATGTATGTTCCCAAATGCAAAGCTATACATCCAAAGAGTCTAGTGCTCAAAACACAGATTCCACCAGCTCCTGACAATTGTGTTGTCTCTCAGCCCTTGCTGCTCAGTCTCTTTCACAGCATCAGCTAATCACTTACTTGCTGGAATTCTCCTTTCCACTTCAGTTTTGTCCATTATTTATCTCCAGAAGATCTCCTCTACTTGAGTTTCTGCAGATTGTCCCTTTCCCAAGGAAAACAGCCATGGTCCAAGTTTTTTGTTTTGTTGTTTGTGGGTTGGTTTTTTTTTTCCTCAGAAATTTAGCTCGGGCATTTTTCCAGTTCTTCTTAGGCCACCTTCCATACCAACACTTTGATACATCCATAAGCAGTATTTTATCTCTCCATTGGAAAAAATGACTGGCCTGAATTCCATCTCTCCTGCATCAAAGTAGAAACTCTACCTTCTTCTTTATTGTTTTTCAGGCCCTTTCTTATCAGACATATGCAAATTCTAATCTGACTTTCCCATTAAAGCAGAAATTTCCAGGCTACTTGTCAGATCACGTCTACAGTTCTGAAGGTGCCAGTTGGATGCTGCTTCCCTCATGGAAGAAACTATCCTGTGTATGTCTGAATCCTGAAGGTCCAGCAAAGTTTCTTTTAGGACCAACCACAACAGAGGCAGATTATGGGCATGTTAAGTCCCTCAGATTCTCAGGTGGGTCTGGAAATATGGATTAATTTACCTTCATCAACATGACAACTCCTTTGGAACACTGAGCACTCTGTGCAGGGATGCAGGGACTCAAATGACATTGAGAGCACACAACAGAGGACACACAATTCCTTCTATTATGTCATATTTCCCCTAAAATATGTAGGATCTATGTTTTTCCAATATACAAACACTGTGAGATTTTACACAGTATGTAGGTGTCTTGTTTTTATCCAATATTGACCAAGAAGTGGAAAGAAACAAGTATGGGCAGTATCAAGGATTCTCCTCTCCAGCAAGATGCCAGAGGCTCCCTTGACTGAAGAAAAGCAAATCTCCACAACCAGGCCTGATGAATTAGTTTTGATTGCTGCCATTTAAGGAACTGTAAGTCAAATAGCCCCACTGCTCCTAAACAGCCACATAAAATCATCTATACTGATCTCAGAGCATATATGATATCAAAAACACATCAATTCCAAGATCTATGCAAGCCTCGGCTTTTTGCAAAGAACCCATCTCTGCTGGCTCTGTTTATCATGTCCATAGACGGTTCAAATAGTGCCTCTGATTTTAATGAATACCCTCCAAGGACTTCTGCATGTCTTAAATACTGGGCAGAAAATACTGGATTTGTATTTCGTCCACAAACTGCCCCTCTTTTCACAGTCACTGGCTTTCCTTTACTAGGGAAAGTGTTATTGAAACAGAAGCTCTTGAGGGCCTTCAAATATTCTCTGCCATCTATCACAGGTAAAGGAGCAGTTCATATTGTTAACCAGCTACCGGAATTGCTTTCCCAAAACAGTGGCCAGCTATTTGTCAGCTGACATGCACCCGTGAGGAAAGCTGTCACCTTTGCAGCATTTGGCACCTTAACCTGTCTGAGGAATTACTGCTCTCCCCTGCAGGAAAATAGTGAATCAGCACACAACAATTTGATTCTCTGAACAAGGGGTCACCAGGTAGAATCCTCTCACAATCCATAGTCATAGGGAAGTGCCTCTCCAGCCCTCCTAAGCATGAACATTTCTCAATTTGCTATCACTTTATGCTACTTAGGGTCAGACATTTTCCCATCCACCTTCCCACCTCCAACAGTTCTTTTGTTGCCTTGATGTAGGTCCAGAAGCACTCAAAGTATGAAATAAATGTGTGGAAAAGGAAAAGCTTTTAATAAAATTATTTTCAATGAGATTGTCCCTAATCCACTTCAAGGTAGACAAGCAGGCAGGATACTACTGGAAAGGCTGGGAAACATGGCTGACCAGAAATGCTATTTCAGAAGATGTCATCAAAAGGCAAGGAGATAAGCTCAGAAAGCTGAAAATAACTGCCCTGCCGGTCAGCCAGTCGGGGTGCACGGGACAGAGGCTGCACAAGGCCTTGGGGAGCTCCAGGCCGTGCAGTGCAAGGGCTCACACTGGGGAAGTTGGCCTAATTAGGGAACAAAAGTTCAGCTGCATTTTTGAGATTCCTCCTGGAGAATCTGGCCAACTTCCAGATGAGAGGTCCCCAGGAACAGTCTGGGACTCCAGCACTTCTACACGCAACCAGAAGACCTCTGGGGGAAAAAAAAAAAAAAAAGATGCAAATTCTGTAAAATGGAAGCAGGTAAAAAACCCAGTGCTTCCTTGGATGCTGGATCCTTTCAGTGGGGGGTATTTACTAGAATAATGCAAGAATCACAACACATGACAGAAACTCTGCGACATGGAGGGACAAATGCAGCTCAGCCCAGGACCACGTAAATGGGAGGGCATTCACAGTGTGCAATAGCTATGGGAAATTCTGCCTCAGAGAACCCTCCCAGGTTCTCAAAAAATGCCAATTGCTTCAAGAGCTATCTACTGCCAGTTCACCCTACTCCCAACTGCATGCCTAAGAAAGCAAAACCCTGGCAACATGCCATATACAAAATGCTGCTACCCCTGCTGAAGGCTCCTCTGCAAGCTGAAGATCACAGGGGAGAACAGGATGCTAGAGAAAAATATTGCAGTAAGACTGTAAGGTCTTTGGGAATAGGAAATTTTTGTTCCAGCCATACACCAACACTCTCTAGATCTTATTGCAGTGCAAATTGTAGATATAGAAATGACTGTGACTGCATTACAATTATGACTTCCTAGGTCATGAACTCTCTAAACCAGAGTGGAAGGATAGTGCCCAAACCATTGTGATTATTTTTACACAAATAAGGTCCCCTGATCAACACTCAGCTGAGTACAGCTGGTGCTGGGTTCCTCACTTGGATGTTTTAGTTTCAGGGAACGTAGGGGAGAGCACCTGGGGGGTGGCTGCTGCACAGATCCAGACCAGACCAGACAATGGAATGAGAGTTTGGAGCTGGGTGCCAACCACTGTGCAAGGGTAAGAACTGGGTCAGGAAAATACCGCTCTGATTAAAGGCCCTGATCACATCAAGCCCCAGGCCATGTCTACACCACAGGTGCAGACACACCTGCAAGCATCCACAAGGATCCTCATGAGTCAGCCCAAGTCTGGAAATTGTCTTGTTTTAGGTACTTCTGGTAACAAAGCTAGTACCTCCCCAAGTAGAGTGCAGGTTGCTTCTCACCAGGGGATCTCCACATCATTCTGCACTGTATTTTAGAATGCAAATACACTCACTCAACCTCACCCAATTGGGTGACCTAGCAATTTAAGAACATAACTGGCTTTATATTTCAGGTACTTACCTTCTTTTTATAGTTGTTCTCCCAACAAACATTTAATGAAAACAATTGCTCCTGGCATGTTGACTTCACCTAAAAAGCAACAGCCTATTTTTCCACCCAAATGTTTCAGAAGCACTCGCAACTAGAACTACAAAAGCACTTTGATGCCCCCTCTGGAAAGGTCAGATCTTCAAATTCTCTTTCCAGTTGTTGCCTTAAAGCATGTTGTCACTCAAACACTGAGTGATATAGAGCCACAGAGGCAGCATTCACCTGTATAAGGGTCAGAAATCAGGTGCTGTCCCTGTTTTTAGTCTGTGAAGGACCTTGAGACTACCTATGGCACATCTACCAAAGCACAACTAGAGGATGAGGTCCCCAAGGGACCCATTGGAACTGATGTCCTCCCACTCAAATCTTGTTGCCTTCAGTTAAAGAGTCCTTCCTTATAGTACCAAAATTCTTTTGGTTCCATTTGCAAAGCAGAGCAGCTTCAGGAGAAAGGACTGAGAGCCTTCTCAGACACAGAACAGCTCATAGACTTGTCATGATATATAATATTCCCCACGGAGGTGGTAAACATTACTTGCTACATCTTTCTCAGAGACGAAAGAGGACAATAAAATCAGTGTTTTCCAGCTTCGAAAGGAGATGGCCAGTTTAATCTCTACATCTAAAGCATGAGGTTCCAACACTGAAATGAACATCTGCTTACTCAGGAATTGGAGGTCCCTGAAGGCAAGGAAAAGCCCTGCTCTACTTCCAAAGGCTAGAAAACACAGGATGGGGATCAGGGTCCCTCACTGACAGTGCAAGGACATGCACCCCCAGAGCTCACAGAATGGGGCCAGAACTCCACAGAAGGACAGGGTTTCAGACACACTGCCATTCTCAGCTACTCTTTACCATCCAAACAGATCCACCAGCCTATCCTGATATTATCTATGTACTATGAAGGCATCCAGTGCAGGATATGGATTTTGTTATGAGGATAAGGCATCTAAATCCCCCTGTGGGTCTATTCAGGGAATACCCACAGTGCTTTTGCATAAAGATCTAGCTTTGCTTTTAGATAGGGACTAAAGAAAACTAGTGGAAGGACTTCAAGGTCCCAAAGAAAATCTATGGCAAAGCCACAAAAGAACCCAGCAAAATCTTGGCTAACAACCACATTCATACTCCTGCTTATTCTGCCTCTGCAAATTAACTGAAATATTAGGATACACCCTTTATTATACCATTGATTAGCCTCACAGCCTTTGGCTAAATATCCCAGGCAGTCTTGGAAGGTGATGCCAAATGAGTGATTCAACTGGCAAAAATTCAGATGCAAGATGAGTGGTTTAACAAAGGATACAAAACAAGTTTCAGAGCAGGCAGATGGCTGGAGGGCAGGACTTCAGCAGGTACGTTCACATCGACAACCCTGATGAGGTTGTTTGTTAGTATTCAAGCAGCTACAAAGTTATCTTCAGCACAGCAAGAGGAGAGGGACCAAATCCAGGAAGAGTTCAGATTGTAACACTTAGCAAAGCCCAAAGGGAGTTCAGAGAAAGGTTATATGAGCCATCCGGGGGACGAAGGAGCCAACTTCGGACAAATGATTCAAGAAGCCAAGTATTTCAGATTGGCCAGGCAATGACTAAGGGAGGAATATAGTGAAATAAGATTTGAATCACACTTTATAACATGAAGTTCCACTAACAGTTGATTTGGAAGAGACTTATGATACAATTAACAGAAGTCTGCAAGCATACTGTACTGTAAGTTACAAGCAGCTTACTGATCAGTCAGATTTCTGAACACTCAGTTAACCATTTTATACCATTTACAGACTTTTTCAAGTGGAAAAATACTATAAAGTGTGACTGTCATAGAGCACAAGCTTGAATAAAGGACACAGGAATTAGCCAAACAAAACTGTTTTCAAAGCAGGGACCCCTCATACTAAGTAAAATCTCCTTGCCAGGCACCATTGCATAACATCCCTGAAGCAACAATTGCTCATGTGGAAGAGTCACATCAGTAAAGTTATTTTAATGAAATTTAGCAGCCAGAAGCAAGAAGGCGCCTGTGGCATGTGACCAGTCAGCACTCAACAGCAGACCTTGGGAATCAATCATTTAGGGCACTGTATGGAGGTGGAATTAGTTCCAGTGAAATGACTGTAAGGACTGGTTCCAGCAAGGCGGGGGGCAGGGAAGATTAGATCAATTATCAGTAAAAATTTCTATTAGGCAACCAGTCCCCAAAACTATACCCATCACTGGGAGGTCTCTTTGCCTGATAAATGGAAAAGTGCTCTGGGCATAGTCCTGAACCATCCATCACTGCCAAATAAACCCAATGGATCTTTTTTACAATATCATCTCTTGCACTACCAAGAGAAAACTGAGCTAATCTGAATAGTCTTGACTCCTTGTGATGAGCATACCCTTCTGAGGCCAGAATTAATGAGATGGGTGATAGGGGTTTCTTTTCTGGGCTTTAAATTTCACAGATTAATCTACTGTGCTACCAGTACTGGAGTGGTCCTTCAGCAGAAGGAATTAAGAGCACAGGAGAGGGTGTTTTAATTATCTAACAGAGCAACTCTAGGCAGGAAAAATTGGGCAACACCATTTCCATGGTTAGGAAGAGTGCAAGGCAATTAGCCCAGAGGCTTCAACAGAAACAGGTAGAACTTCTCAGGTTGTTCTGAATGGCACTATCCTGGTTTCTAATGCTAAATTAATGCTAAGGCGCATTTTAGCTTTGGTGCAGGATCAAAAAAGGATATGTGTATTCCTTCTCTGTGTGTTAACAGGAGCCTGGGAAGAAGCACTATGACATTATTATTGATTCTGGTATTCAGTGCTGGTGCAATAAAAAGAAAAGACACATAGAAAATCTAAAGGCACATGTCCTTGTTACTCCTGCCTGGCCTTCTCCTCTGGGGTACTAGCAAGACTTCATCATCCCTAAAGAGAAGTTTTCATGCTATAAGAGCAAACTAACCATACTGGACAGCAATCTAGGTTAAGTCAGGCTTTGTACTCTATTAGCTAATTGCTGTCCTGACTTTTAAATGAAAATAGAGTATCTTTTCAGTGGCCACATATACATCTGTAACCTCAAAACAAGATGCAGCAGCTGATAAGAGCAGCTATTTCAAAGATAATTAAAAATCTGTCAGCAACAGAAACAGAGGATGCAGGAAAGGCACTGCATCCAAAGCAAACTTTATATTATTCTCCAGTACTAGAGTACCCTCTTAAGGTAGTCTCCAGACACATAATAGGTTAATCCTACTAGTCCCCTTCAGAGGAGCCAGCATCTACCTAGAAAGCCACTAGTCTTACATGGTCAACCTTTTCCTGATGGTCTTCATCCTTGGAGGGCCAGGAGGGAAAAAGAGAGAAAGAAGTTAAAAGGAAGCACTATGGAAGCCTGCACAAAACAGCTTGAAGACTGACATTTATGACTGTCCTGCAGCATGTGCTTTGCAACTTTATTCACTTGAGCAAACCACAAAGTTGATCCTACATTATCACATTTTATATCCAGCCATTTATGCAGATGCCAACTGTGATACTTAAGAAAAAAAAACAAAACCCAAACATGAGCAAGAAGAGAACAGACTTAGTTCATTCTCCCTATAGCATGATAAAACTCAAATTATTCAGTTGTGTAGGATCCTAGAAAGATTCATATGGAGAGTCACTACAGCCATGCCAGGGACCAGAATTGAAGGTGGACCAGTCATACTAGGGGTTATACACTGTAGCAGGCTACAGCCCTTTTTTCAGAAGCTACTGTTTCTCAAGGCAACCTCAGATTCTCCCCTGAGAGCACAGGCTGTAGCAGTTAGTGTAAAATAGGCATAGCTGCCATCCATGTTTGTTGTCATTACAAGTGTTCCATATTGTTGTCTCCTTATTGCAAGAGTTCCGTACCTCCTTGATGTTTCCCATAGGCATCTCCTCTAAGCACTGACTCTTCCTTCTCACAGTAGCCAACTGACTCCAGTTCCCCTCTTAATCAACCAACCCACTCTTTTATAGTACTCTTCTTCTCACTGGTTACAGGTGTGGCCTGTCAAAGTCAGACCTGTTCCTAATTGCTAATAATTAGCTCAGCTGCAACTCCTTAGGGGTAAGATTACTTTCTATACTGTCTCTGTCCCTCTGCAAGCCTCTCAGGAGCCCTGGGCCAGTCCTGAGTCAGCAGACACCGGGGAGCAGCCCCGACATGGCTGACAGTGGGGAGACACTGTCTGTGTGTGCCCCAAGGGTGCTGAGGGCACCTGGGCTGGCAGGGAGACACTGTCTGTGTGTGCCCCGAGGGTACTGAGGGCACCTGGGCCGGCAGGGAGACACTGTCTGTGTGTGCCCCGAGGGTACTGAGGGCACCTGGGCTGGCAGGGAGACACTGTCTGTGTGTGCCCCAAGGGTGCTGAGGGCACCTGGGCTGGGCGCCTGTGCAGCACAAGAGACTCCAGAGACATCGGTAGAAGAGAAAGGGCCGACTCTTAGCAGGGGTTAATCCAAGGTTTTATTAGGAGTCCCAAAGGAGCTCCTGCACCTCAGGGGCCTCCTGCCGAGCGCCCCGGGAGATGTGCCAAGGTCACATTTAAAGGGAGGTGGAAACCGAAAGTAGGATGCTGGGGGATAGACATTTAGGACAGCATATGGGGCAAGGCTTGGGGGGCTGGCCTCTGGCTAATCACTCGACGACCTGGACAGAAACTTCTGGATGGAGGGGAGGGGATGCTGAGTGATTGACAGAGAGCCAGGGTGGGGGTTTGGGGATGATCTCATCCTGGGAGAGGGATAACACAGGTAAAGGGAGGGGGGTACAGTCTGGGATAAACCATTTGGGAAAAAAAAGGGGATACAAAACAAAACTACTTCAAAGTATTACAAAGTATAAAAATGCACTACAACACTATACTACCTTTATTTTCTTATATTCTATCCCCCTACACGTGTTAGCTTCACCAGATGATCTAAAGCTAAAACTATAAGGGAGCAGCTTGGTTATATAGATAAGGAACTCAAAAAACCAGCCTGTTAATCACTCTGAAAGTTGCAAACTGGATGAGAACCTTT